TTTCTTTCTTTCTTTCTTTCTTTCTTTCTTTCTTTCTTTCTTTCTTTTTTTCTTTCTTTCCTTTTGAGACAGAGTTTCACTCTTGTTGCCAGGCTGAAGTACAGTGGCATGATCTCGGCTCACCACAACCTCCACCTCCTGGGTTCCAGCGATTCTCCTGCCTCAGCCTCTTGAGTAGCTGGGATTACAGGCATGTACCACCAGGCCCAGCTAATTTTGTATTTTTAGTAGAGACGGGGTTTCTCCATGTTGGTCAGGCTGGTCGCGAACTCCCAACCTCAATCGATCAGCCCGCCTCGGCCTCCTAAAGTGCTGGGATTACAGGTGTGAGCCACCGTGCCCGGCCCTTTCCTAGACAGTTTCTAGCATGTCCGTGTATTATAGCTGCAGTGCAGAGGAGCAGGTGTGGTTCTTGGATATATTCCTCAAACAGAATCAGATAGAGCCTCTGTGTACAGAGAATATCTGAGAGCTTTGTGCATTGCCACATTTGTCAGTAATTTCCTCTGCAAAAGGCAGTCATGTCTAGCTGAAAAACCTAAGCAGTTCTCTTCAGACCTCAAATGATATGGGACCTGCGTGGTCATTAGCAGAGAGCAACGGAGTCACTTAGAGACAGAGACGCTGGGTGAGAACTGGGCTCACTCACTAGATAAATAACTTATGCAGGCACATCTGCCTTGCAGAGCAATTCAAAATTGTGTTTCAGAAAAATGACCAATTACGTACACTCAGGAAAGTTCCAGACACAGTGTTAAGTTTCATGTACTCAACTGGGTGCGGTGGCTCACTCCTGTAATCCAAGCACTTTGGGAGCCTGAGGTGGGAGGATCCCTTGAGCCCAGGAGTTTGAAACCAGCCTGGGCAATATAGGGATACCTCTACTCTACAAAAATGAAAATAAAAATAAATTAGCCAGGTGTAGTGATGCATGCCTGTGGTCTCAGTTAGTTGGGAGGCTGAGGTGGGAGGATCACTTGGGCCTGGGAAGTTAAGGCTGCAGTGAGCTGTGACGTAGTCACTCTACTCCAGCCTGGGCCTCAGAGCAAGACTCTGTCTCAAAAAGAAAAATGAAAAACCCTATGTAGTGAGAACCTCACTGATTACTGGGGTTTGCCATGTTCTACAAAATTCTCTTTAGCCACGGCAGCTGGCTATGAGATTGGATTGTTTGATTCTTACTGCTGGTGAAGTTATTCCCAGTTTCTCTATCCTTCCCTGACAGAGGAGGAGGGAGGGGCATCAGAGGCTTTCTTCCTTGTACGATAATAGGATCAATATTAGTTCTCCTTTTCACCCGAAATGTGTTGTAAACTGAAATCTGGGTGGCAGATAAAGGTGGTAGAGATCTTTGGATGTGGTCGTCTCTACCTTCACTTTGTTGATGTCATCGTGAACAGACGCTTAGAAGCACTACGTGCTCTCAAATGAAGCTCTGATTCTGCAGGAGCTCAAACACAACAGGATGCTGGGCTTGTAGGCTGGTAGCTGTCCGGCAGCAAAGCTGTGCTTTCCCAGCTGTGGTGGGTGGGTTCCAGTTTTGAACAACTCTCCCTAGTTCATTAACCATCAGAGCCTTACAGATGACCCTTATGCTCATCCTAGCGTCATCTGTAAGGCTCTGAAAGCATTCCAAATACCAGACCCGCCTGCTGGGGACCCCAATCTCTGAGTGGTGCTTTTTTGTGCACAGTTCATCTGAGCCTCAGGATAGCCCTGTGAGGCAGGGGTGGCTGGCGTTTCATGCCCTTTGTGTCACTGAAGGGTCAGCCCTTTGTGAAGGAAGGAGAGGGTTTGTGGCCAAATCTGATTCTTTCACTTAATAGCACAGAGACTTTGGACAAGTTCTCTGGGCCACAGTCTCCATCTTCAGAATGTAAAATATAATAACCTTGAGATCTAATTGTGGCAATTAAGTGAGATGATGCTGGCGCAGCCCCTGCCATGATTCCTGGTGCATCAGCATCCCAGGAAGTTAAAGAGTTTGCTCGTGGACACACAGTATTAAGAACTTAGTCACAGGTGTTCTGGGGCTCGGGACAGGATGCTTTCTGCTCTACCATGTGGTTTCTCCAGGGTGGAAACTGCTGTTGCATTTTCACTTTGTTGGAGCATTGGTCCAGTTAAGAGATGAGGACTTTTAATTTCAATCTTAACTTTTTTTTAACATTTAAATGCTAGCTTTTTTCGGTAAGATAATGTCTGACAGAAGCAGGATTTCTGGATTAAAGGAAAAATGAATTTGTGATTGTAATAAGGATTGCCAAATTGTTTCTCTAGGGCTCTACCCGCTCCCAAAACCAGGAATGGTGGAAAGTGGCCATCAGCCTTGTCAAATGGAGTGTGCTGCCACACTTACAGACTTCTGCAATGATATGGGTAAGAAGTTGCTTGTCGGTGCAGCTGTTATGAATGAAATTGAGCATCTTTCATGTATCCAAGAGCCATTTGTAATTTTTATGTGTGTGTGTGTGTGTGTGTGTGATCTATTTGTATCCTTGCTTGTTTTTCTCCTGGGTTTGTTCTTGTTCTTTTCAATTTTGAGTAGCTCTTTGTGTATTTGACCAATCATCCATGTGTCTTTTATATGAGTGGCAAACAGTTTTTCAACTCTATCATTTGTTTGTCTTTTGACTTTGCCTCTGTTGGTGGTGGTGTTAGTTGCTGGTGTGTGTTTGTGTGTGTGTTGTTAGTTTTACTGTGCACAAGTTTGTTTTATTTACTGAGGATTTCTTACCACGCAGAAGTGAGTGGGACCACATCCCCTCTTTTGGGAATCTGGCTAGGGCTTTGCTGCCAGGAGGCCATCAGAGATGCTGCTGATGTTCATTTCCACTGGAATTTTGCTCATATTGAAGGTTCTCATGTCTGCACTCCTCATATTTACATTTTTATGCTAATTGCTATCACTTTGCAGTCCATCATCTATATGCTCCCTGGCAGTGTTGGCTTCTTTTTAAGTTCTGGCTTTGTCCATCCACTGAGGTCACTGACTGGGGGAGTGCAAAGGCCTGGCCTGGACATTAGTGTTGGCCACAACACCCAGCTTAGCACAGGGAGGTTACTGCAGGTTCAGTGCGAAATCCAGGACTAGTGGTCCCCAGGCCCTAGCAAGCCACGGAGGAGTTTGGGATGTTTCAAGGGGCTAACTGAAAGCTCCCTCTCCCTTTTAGCGACGACACCCACTCTGAAACGGTTCCCAGGTTGTGTTTCTTGGTGGGACCAGGTCCTGGGGACGGCTCTAGATTGAACCACTCTTAAGCTCTCCTTTACCCTTGCTAAGGTCTCCCAGACCCATTCCCCCACCGAGAGAGAATGGGAATTGGCTCCCCAGGACCCTCCCTCATCCTCTTCCCTGTCCCAAGCTCAGAGTTTGAAGGTAGTGGGGCCGAAGGAAGAGGAACGGAGACAAGCCAGGAGTTGAAGAAGCCATTGTAATAATGGGGTGAGGAGGTAGGGAAGGATTCGGTGGCAGGAAGGCGAGTCTTGTGGCTCCTCTTTCTGCCCTGGCAGGGGTTGATGTGTGGGAGAGGAGCCCTGAACGCTCTCTTCTCAGGCATGGGGTCAACAGGGAGAAGACTGGAGAGGAGGAATACATGACTTTGCCTCTTGCTGTAGGGAGGGAGGAAGGAGACGCTGCATACAGGGAGGAACATTAGCCGCCTGGTGTCTGGGAAGGTTGGACAATAGCGCACTTCCGTGGGTACAGACAGAGGAAGAGGGAGCCGGGATCAAAGGCCGGAAGAGATCAGAGGGGCTCAGCAGTGTAAAACTGTAAAACTGACTGATTCCAAAACACCCAAACCAGCAGATGGCACCCTCACCCTCCCCTCGCCCTCCCCTCGCCCTCCCCTCGCCCTCCATCCTGGAGGGCTGCTCTCCCGTCCGGCCTCTGCCTCTACTTCTTCCTCCCAATCTGCGCCATCAGATGGGCGTTGGCGGCCGCCTGGGCGCGCAGGTTCTTGGCCTTGGCGATGTTGAAGAGCAGGTTCATGATGTTGGTGGGGACGTCGAGGGACAGGGTGAACTTGGTGCGCTGGGGACTCTTGGCCGTGTCCTGGCGTGGCTTTCCCCTGGGCTGTGCTTGGGACACGTATTTGTACCGGGTGCCTCCAGCTCCACCCCTGGCCCCAGAGACGGGGAAAGTCCTTTTCTCTTTGCCCTCGTCCTCCTCTCCCGAGGAGGCGTCTCCGCCGGGCGGGTGGGGGAAGCTCCTCTTGCTCAGCAGGGACGTATCCTCCGCCTGGCCCTTCTCAGCCTCAGACAGGGCGGCGTTGAGGCAGCTGAAGACGGGCTTGGCCTTGTAGAACTTGTGCGGGAGGCCTGTCCTGGGGCCCCCCAGGAGCAGCAGCAGGAGCAGCAGGAAGTGGACCGGCCTCGGCATCTCTCCCTGCAGTAGAAAACAGGGATGTGGGCAGAGGCGTGGGAGGGGCGTGGCGCCCTGGAGGACCTGGATGAAAATCTACTAGGGCTGTTAATGTTCCACTGCAAGGGTTCTCCAAGCATGACCCCCAGACCAGCAGCACCAGCCCCGCCTGGGACTTTGTTAGAAATGCAAGTAATTCTCAGGTCTTTTTCCAGAACGAGTAAATCAAAAGCTCTGGGGCCCAGCCGCCTGCGTTGTAACAAATCCTGCAGATGATCCCAGTGATCACTAAAATGTGAGAACCATGACCTCATTAGTATTTATGGGTTTTATTTAATTCAGATTTGCAGGCAGCCTCTGCCCCTGTAAAGCGAATAACTAATATACTAAGTAAGCACCTAGCAGCCTACCGTGGTTGATTTTAACGGCGAGTGAATTTTTTGTTCCTTCATCATTGGCAAGGCTGACTGAGTATATCCCTGTTGCTTAAAGACCATGGCTGGGCATCTAGTCATTGTTTCCAAGGCAGATCTTTAAGGCTGGTTTCTCGCTAGGCTATCCTAGTTTCTTGAGAACAATCAGATTTGTTATTAATAACTAGGTTGGTTTTACTGTAGACTTTATGAATTTATGAAATCAAATTATGGTTTTACTGTAGACTTTATGAATTTATACTTGATCTTTTTGTCAGACCAAGTATCCTCCAGGGAGCACCAATGTCTTCCAACCACAGGACTTCAATGCCAACACTATCTGTGGTCTCTAAGACATATGGGATCCTGGTATCAGTCAGACTGAGTCACGGTGATTGTCCAGGGCAAGAAGAAGACACTGAGAACTCTGAAAGGATCCTAGTCTATAGGGACCAGTTGAATCCATTCTCTTATTTAAAAAAAGAAAAATAAAAACTGGCCAGGCACAGTGGCTCACACCGGTATTCCTAGCACTGTGGGAGGATGAGGTGGGAGGATTGTTTGAACCCAGGAGTTCAAGAGCAGCCTGGGCAACATAGTAAGACCTTATCTTTACAAAAAAAAAAAAAAAAAATTAGGTGGGCATGGTGGTGTGCACCGGTGTTCCCAGGTACTCAGGAGGCTGAGGCAGGAGGATTGCTTGAGCTCCAGAGGTCAAGGCTACAGTGAGCTGTGATTGTGCCACTGCCTCCATCCTGGACAACAGAGCAAAACCCAGTCTCAAAAAAACGAAAGAAAAAAACCTAAGCGTTAGCATATGGAATGTTGTGGCAATAAAAACATCCAACTCGATGACCCTCATGTTACTTGGACTGTTCGGGTTTTAAGCATCATATGCACTTGCTGGTTCACGGATGAACAGTGTTAAACAAGACATCGAACTGCCATCCCCATCAGGTGAGAAGGGCTTGTGCTGAGCCACCGCCACGCTCCCTCTGGGGCTCCTTCACAGTAGCGCCATGCAGCTGTGCCAGGGGCTGTCCGAGTTCAGGTTGCCCATAGCCACTGTTCCTTAGGATATTGTGAAGTGGGCAGAGTTGACTTCCTGTGCCCTGAGATCAAACCCACTCTGCAGCCAGTCCTTCTTGCCTGGTCTGTGGGCACACATTCTCTCCAGCCCTGCAATAAGGACATCATGTTTATTTATTCATTGTCCTTCATCATGCATGAGGACGAAACAGTGAGGTACATATGTCAGGAGTTTTGTCTCAACTCCTTCTAGAGAGAGCACGGCTGCCGTCTGCGGGCCCCTGCTCACACCCCGACATGCCTGTTCTCTCATTACGGTGTGAGGATGAACCATCCCCTGGGCTCTCCTGTGAGACACAAGCAGTGAAAGGCTCTGCTGTTCACCTCTGGGGGCTTTACCTGAACTTGAAGGTCACTTTATGACCAAAGACAAACTCGGCTTTCACAAAAGCAAGCCAGAAACATGTGGTTCACTATCAACGTGGGAGAATTCTTTTCTTATGTCAGTTTTTAAAAACTAAATAAGAACAATTGGGTAAGTAAATCACCTGGCGATTCACCTGGGCCTTCAGCAGCGTGAGGCTGGCATTGGGTCATTTTGTTCTTTGCGGTGACAGTGCAGAGCAGGGCCAGGCAGGGCTGGCAGTCGGGGCTCAGGCTCCAGCCTCTGCTCTGCAGTTCTTCGTCAGTGTGGCCTTGACGACGCCGTTTCCCACATGTGAGTGCAGTGGACCCAACCCAAGCCCATCCAGACAGCCTTAGGCTGTGAGGCATGGACAGAACCAGCGCTGACCCTTAAAAAAGGGAGCCTGGGTCTCTTTCTAAAGGAGGATCCTGTAAATCCCTGCTGCTTTACTTACCCTGGAAACAGACACACACACGACACATAGGAACATAGAAATGCACGCATACATGCGCACATACTCATAAACATGTACACATATATACATACATATGCACCCACATACAGATACACACATATATACATGCACACGTGCACACACATACACACCTCACATGTACATACATACCCATATAGACATGTGGACACACATATATACATGCACATACATGGACACACACACCTCACACATACATACTATACACACATATAGACACATGCATATTTATATATGCACACATATGCACACATATACACATCTCACATGCACGTACATACACATACACACATATATGCATGCACACCTATGCACACACATACATACCTCACATGTACATGCATACACACAAGCACACACATGCACACACATACACACCTCACATGTACATACATACACATACATATAGACATGCACACACATACATACATGCACACATATGCACACATACATACCTCACATGTACACACACATGCATACACCGCTTACACACACACAAGCACACACATGCACACACATATACACACATGGATAAATATTTACCCGGCACATTTCCTGTCAAAGCCTGTTGCTTCCCTTGGCTCTCCACATTGCAGCTACTGCCTTTCCTTTAATCTTTTTTCTAAGAAATCAGGTTTTGTTTTGTTTGTTCAATTTATTTTGCGTTACAAAAATTTGGAGCTTATTTTATGCACTAATATTTTTCATAATTTCTGAAAAAACACATGATCCTTGCTTTAAATAGTCCAAACCTATGAACTACCAGATCTGGGCATATTGCTTGGCACAGCGAGAGCAACACAGGCTTTGGAGTTAGACAGACACAGTCTCGAATCCCTTCTTCGTCCTTATTTGCCTGAGGGTTTGGGCCGATAACCTCTGTGAATTTCCATTTCCTTCTCTGATAAATGGGATGGCAATAACCACCACCTAAAGGTTAAGTGAAGGATTAGATGAGAAACGTCAGTGTGTGTGTGAAAGCTCCTGGTCTAAGCAGATGCTTAATCAAGGCTGATCCACACCTGAATAATCTCCATGTCTTCTTAGGAGAAGATCTGGTCTGCACACAACCTTTTCAGAAATGCATTTTACACACACAGATGTGCATACACAGTACACACATGTACAGAGAGGCCAGGAAATCTGAGCAAGGATTTGATCCTGCAGACCAATGTGCTTTTTGTATTGTGTCTCTGGCTTGTAGCTTTTGGCTCCGTGCTACCCTCTCCACCCTGACCCATACAGACTCCTTTTGCCCTTAGTCTAAGTAAGTGGTTCTCAACTTTCAGGTGCTTTGGACTCATGTGAAGGAGTAGTTCAAACACAGCCTGTGGGGCCCGTCCCAAGAGTTTCCGAGCCACTAGGTCTGGGATGCTCCTGAGAACATGCATTTCTAGCACAGTCCCATGTGATGCTGATGCTGAGGTCTGAGGACCACATTCTGAGAACCTCTGCTCTGCGTGCTCCGACCTGACGCTGGACTCCTTAGAACTGTACACTGGAGTTCCAGGGGTGCACTAACCATCCCTGTGGAAAACGGGCTTTTCTTTCCATAAATATTGCATTCAATAACCAGACCTTCAGTTTTCTCATTTATAGAGGACCTAATGAGTTGTTTTTCATAAATAGAGTGTGAAGTGTGGTTTTACCTGGCTTACACCTTGAAGGCATCTTAAAGCTTGGAAATTATTTCGAATGGCTTGCTAACCCTGAAAGGGTTTAAAAAAACAAAAACCAATTTGGAAAGGGTTAATACTGGTGGGAAAGTGGTAGAGAAACTTTGTCTCTCTGTCCCTTTGTTCCTTCATCCCTTCGTTCCTTTCACCACCAGACTCAGTCCTGTCCCTCCCACTCACTAGCTCGTGCCTAACCACCTAGTGCCTCAGTATTTCCCTCTGTGAGAGCAGGGGATCGAGTTCGAGAATCTTTGTTCTGATTTCTTTCTTTTTCTCCTTCTGAAAGCCAGAGGTCCCTCTATGAAAAGCACTGGGAGAACGAAATGATTTCTCGATTTTCACCAAATGAAAGGTGCCTGGACTCTGGGTGGGTGTAAGCTAAAATAGAGGGTGCTGACCAGGCCCGGTGGCTCACACCAGTCATCGCAGCACTTTGGGAGGCCGAGGCAGGTGGATCACCTGAGGTCAGGAGTTTGAGACCAGCCTGGCCAACATAGTGAAACCATGTCTCTACTAAAAATACAAAAATTAGCCAGGCATGGTGGCACACACCTGTAATCCCAGTTACCCAGAAGGCTGAGGCAGGAGAATTGCTTGAACCTGGGAGGTGGAGGTTGCAGTGAGCCAAGATCGTGCCACTGCACTCCAGCCTGGGTGACGAAGTGAGACTCTGTCTCAAAAAAAAAAAAAAAAAAAAAAAGAGGGCGTCGAGATGCGGCCCTGGAGCTACCCTCAGGCCTCCCCCTGTGGGTTCCATGTGGCTCTCTCTCCGCTGCCCCACCACCCTATTTGTTTGTTTTACTTCCTCACTCGAACCCTGTACCCCAGCCCAGGGAACCCCTCCCTGCTCCTCTCTATTTCCTTCCCAGGGCAGCATTCTGCATTTACCCTCAAACATCTGGAACTTTGCACAATAATTGCAAATATTACTGAGAACTCAGAATACTTTCTGAGTCCAAGCCCATCTTGGGGCTCTGCCCACACAGGCTGGCCCTTTAGTGTAAATCAACACCTGAGTTTACCTGTCTATCCCCACCCCTTAAAGACACTTTGGGTGTCATATTTCTTTGGTATCTCCATTTCTGCTAAAGCCAAGCCTTTCACTGTGCAGAGATATTCCCTCTGGGTCATTTGGCTCTCAGCAGAGTGACTTAGGATGCTTGGAAAAGCCTGACATGGCCAATAGTGCCTTATACTAAATCATATTCTCAATCAATATTTGTTGAATGAATTGAAATTCAGATTAATATTCAGGCACTTAATTAAATCAATTTATTTTCCAAGGCAAAACAACCTCTTTAAATTCTTTCATGGATGTACATTCTCTCTGCAAATCATGTTGTTACATATCATAGAGGAAAAAATCTTTTATATGGCATACTTTTTTTTTGTTATGAAATCATACGTGTATACTTAGAGTCACTTGAAAGTTGAGGGCTTCTGAACATGCAACAACCGTGTCCAAGTAACTTTCTGCAGTTTTCCTGTGAAAAAGTTCAGGTTTTCCCTTGCAATGGGCTAGCCCCTGGAAGTGCTACCTGTCTCATCTCAGTTGCAAAACCAAGGCACCGGGGAGAGGAAGTGAGATCCCTTTTAACTCTGTATTTACTTTTTTTTTTCCCCCACATTTTTGGGGTCAATTTGTAAATACTGTGCCTTTTAAAAAATGCATTACCATCTTATTTTTCAAATCCCAAGTCTACCATCAGAGAAGAATACTGTATTCACGGACAGGGTGCTGAAAGTGTGGAAAGATCTGTAGAAGTGTCAGGGAGCAAGTGTCCTGTGTGGCGCTCTGTTCTCGGTGCATCTGAAGGTAGCAGACCTTCCTCTCTCTGCAAACCCTTAGCTCCAGCCTGAACAGGGTTGTGAGGGTATTGGAAGGTGACCCCTCACCATCAGCAATGATGCAAAGTTACACAGCAAAGGAACCTTCCAGAACTGTGAATTGGACATGATAGGAATGCCTGGTGCTGAGCTTAATTCTAGATCATTTAAAATGTAAGGGTTCTTTGCAACCCTGGATATTTTCACCATCAAAGTGTGTGAATGGCGGGGGGCTGGAAGGTAGATTCAGATTTCTTTCTGGGACTTTTCTTTTTAGGATCTGTTTAGATTTGTTTAGGGTTTATAGAATAAAAGAAAAGGAACTTTCCCCAAAGAAAAGACACTCTTTACTTCCCACATAAAGTCTAATTTTGCAAGTTTCTCCTTTTACATTCCTTGAACTCTTCTGCCATACCCTTGGTGAAACAATATGAAAATTTAAGATTTCTCTGCAGCCTGCCACAAAAATAACTGAGCACCATCTAGTTATTAATACATATGAGGGGCAAAGCTCTACACCTGTATTTTTCTCTGGGTGTCTGAAACTCAACCATTCCTTTGGGCTGTGGTGACAGTAGCACTTGTCGAGGGTGCTGTAAAGAGACACAGTTACTTCTGGGAGCTGTGGCAGAGGCAAGCACTGAAACATGAGGGAGCTAGGTCAGTCCCCAATTCCTAGCACCTCGCAGGGAGAGGACAGGGCATGAAGCAGCAAAGGCAGGAGGCAAACAGCACTGATCACGCAGCTCTGCCAAGTGCAGAGCTATTCCTGTGGGCTCCGTTTGTCTGCAAACACTGATAAGAAGTTAAACTAAAACTAGACCACTTAAAACATTTAAAAAATCTTACATTTGTTATTTTTTGGTAGGTGGCTATGCTTGGGAAGGAAATTGCAAACAGGATTTTTCTTTCAGAAAACGTGAACATCAAACATCCATCTCCCCTTCATAGGTAGCAGTTAGCCATTGTAGATATCTGCACACACCCCCACAATGTGCCTAGTGTGGCAAAGGACTCTGGGCTTTGATGGCCGAGGACCTGGCTGGGAAAACTCCCTCGCCTCTGACTTTTCTTGGGTGAATCACTTAACCTGTGTTTCGCTTGCTGCATCCTAGGAAGGAGACATTACCTGCTTCTCAGGTGTGCCCGAGAGTGACGGGAGATGGCACAGGCGAAGGTCTCTGGTACAGGTAAACATTAAGTGCAGGTGTCCTCGCTGCTCTGCAGGTGCTGTAGAGTCATGTCCTGTGGCTCCCATTTGCCCTGGCATCCCTACCCCATCCCCAGTTTGTAAACTGTCTCCAAGGACTGACCTTCCTGTGCACAACTGAACTCTGTTCAGAGAAAATAGATTTGTGTGAACACGTTCTGCCTCTGATCTAACACCTTTGGAAAGCAGGTCTTTCTATACCAACATGGGAATGGGATTGTGCCTCCCTGAGAAACTTCCCCTGGTCCCTTTGGGGCTGATCTCTGCTGATTGAGTGGGGGGCATTCTGCATGGTTCCCTTGGGCTTCCACCCAGGGGCTCTAGCAGCTCTGTCTCTCGCGCCTGTCCAGTGCACGGCACCTCCTGCTTAATTTAGGGCAGATCCATTTACCCTTCATAAGTCAGTCCCGACCAGAAGCTTACCTGAGAGTGGACTTCCCTCCGCAGCGAAACGCTCAGGGAGGCCAGCGCAGCTTCAGGGCCAGGAGGACGGCCCCATGCACATCCCCCTGAACTTCTGGCTGCTCCGGGGTCTCGGCTCCTGCTTCTCCGGTATTGCTCCTAAGTGGGCTGTGATATTCCCTCTCTATGGAAACGGTCCCCTCCCCTGTGTGTATATAAAAGTGACAGATCACAGGGTGGATCGTAATTCCAGACGTGGTGTCTACGCTGGGATGAGATTTCATTTAAAATACAACCAGAACCAGCCGTCCACGTCATGCAGATGACAGATGCTCCAACCTCGACCCCTCCCACCTCTGCTTCCCCCCCCCCCCCCCTCCCCCCCCCCCCCCCGCCCTCCTACCCCCACCCCCGCAACTGCTCTTGCATCCTAGCAACTTGCTGCATTGATAAAAGCAAAGAACAAAAAAGAAAAAAAAAAGAAGAAGAAGAAATAACAACTCAAAACAAAACAAAAACCCGGGTAAAGTGAGAAGCAGTGTCTCTGAGGAATTTTATTGCTGATCTTAGTTCTAACTAATTACAGTTTCCTCTACATTCCCCTTGCCCTAACTCTCCTTTTGGAAATCTAGAATCCGGACCTGCTTTGAAAGCAGAGAAGCGGTTTGAAATCCACCTGTTGCCGTGTTGTTTTGTGGGTTCTGACCGTGCAGCGTCATCTGGCTGCACACGTAGCCCCTTGTGCTTGCCACACACTCGGTGCCTGCTCCCCACATAAAGTCCAATTTTGCGAGTTTCTCTTTTCACATTCCTTGGACTCTTCTGCCATACCCTCAGTGAAACAACACAAAAGTTTAAGATTTCTCTGCAACCTGCCACAAAAACAACTGAGCACCATCTAGTTATTAATACATTTGAGGGGAAAGCTTTACACCCGTATTTTTCTCTGGATGCCTGAAACTCAACTATTCCTTTGGGCTATGACAGTAGGTCATCATACACCAGAGGTCTGGAGGTTTTAGTGGGAAACGGCTTGGATTTTACTCGTTTATGCATCCTATATTTATTGAGGACTTACTGTGTAGCGGGTATTGCCAGGACCCCCACAAGTTCAGAGAAAAGTAAGTTGTGGCCCCTGACCATACAGGGCACTCATGGTTTAGAATGGTATGGAAGGTTGGGCACTGTGGCTCACGTCTATAATGATGTGCACTTCGGGAGGCTGAGGCGGGTAGATCATGAGGTAAGGAGTTGGAGACCAGCCTGGCCAACATGGCGAAACCCCGTCTCTACTAAAAATACAAGAAAATTTAGCCAGGCATGATGGTGGGTGCCTGTAATCCCAACTACTCGGGAGGCCAAGGCAAGAGAATTGCTTGAACCTGAGAGGCGGAGGTTGCAGTGAGCTGAGATCGTGCCATTGCACTCCAGACTGGGTGACAGCGACACTCCATCTCAAAAAAAAAAAAAAAAAAAAAGAAGAAGAAGAAGGAAAGAAAGAAAGAAAGAAAAGTGCTACAGAAAGGAGCAGTCCTGTCCACTCAAGACAGGAGAGGAGAGAGGAGAGCAAGAGGGGTTTCAGACAGAAAGGACGGATCCGCACAGACAGAGCCAGGGATAAGAGGAACGGGAGGGAAGGAGGGCGATGGGAGGGAGGTGTCCACGGTGGGTGTGGAGGCAGCTCCGCACTGAGGTGCTCCAAAGGCCTGCGGAATTGGGAGTTTATTCCATAGGTAATGGGGAGATGTGGGGGGCTGCAGTCTCGTGACCCCTTATTCACATATGTGGAAGCTGAGGCTGTGAAAAGTGACCTGCCGGGACCCCACAGGCCTAGGGTGGCAGAGTCAGGCGAGAACCAGGCCTGACGCTGGGCTCAGTGCTCCTTTCACTGGGCTGAGCTGATGACAAGGGGCCCGACAAGATTGGCTGGCTGTTCCTTGCCCTCCTCCCAGACGGCTGCTTCACTCTTGTGAAATTCCTATCGGTGAAGAGCTAAGAGGCCTTCTGAAATGACCAAATCTCTTTAAAGCCCATGAGCATGTGGAGGAACAAACGGAAAGCCACTGAGGGGAAGGACTTCAAGACCTTGTGCTCCCCATTTTAAGCCTCTTTGCAGAGATAGGCAATTGGACCTCCCTCCCTTCCTTCTTTCAGAGCTGCCTGGGCTGGCATTCTCTTGAGATTGGAGGCAACATGATACTGAATCTGTGTTTTAATTCAAATTCATTAATTCATTCATTTGTTCTAGTTTTTGTGAGAAGGTTTTTGTTTTCCATTTCAGATAATGAGGCAGTAATGGAATTTATGCAGGTTGAGGGGTAGACAGAAACCTGAGCTTAACTCCCCTGTCTGCCTTATGGGCTCTCGGATGCCAGGGCGGCTCTGGGATGCCAGGGAGTCTTGTGAAGACACCAAACGTTGGTCTACTGGGGCAGGGTTTCCCATCCTCAGCACTGTTGACATTTTGGGCAAGGTAATTCCTTGTCGGCCCTTGGGGTCTGCCCTGAGCTCTGGAGGAATTTAGCAGCATCTCTGGCGTCTACCCATTAGATGCCAGTAGCACTCCCCTCTTCATTTGTGGCCATCAAAAGTGTTTCCAGACATGTCCTCTGGGGACATGAGAACCACTTCCCTACAGTATGGAGTTTAGAAAAAGAGATGATGAACGCTGCTACCTTGTTTTCTCTCAACTTCCTAGAAATCCTCTTACCCTGAGGCCACCTCACTGGGACTGAAGAGTCTTGGTGTTGGTGGCTGTTCTTGGAGCCTGCCGTCCCCTCATCACACAGAGCAGGCTCATCGGTTCCCACTGGTCCATTCTGGGTGGGCTTTGGCATTGTCCAGTGACTTCTGCTAGCCTGGATGGAGTTCCACACACAATGCTTCATAGACATGAGCCGCTGTAAGGGTACAGTTCAGGGTGTCGTTTTCTAGAAACTTCAAGAAACAGTACATTTGCTTTACAACTTGAATGCCGCATCTGGTGGGGGACTGAAGAGAGGCTTGGACAGCAAGAAGATGATTAGTAGCAAAACCTCTGGAGTATCATTTCTAGCAAACAATGATTCCCTCCCTCTCCAAGGCTGACGTGTGAGTGTGGTGTGTGGCTACACTTGCACTTCTCTCTGGCTTTGGTGAGCCATTGGTACCTTTCCTGGACTCGGCATAAAAATGTTGTTCAGGGATGTAAATGTCCTGTAGAGGGTACCTAGAGGGCCAGCGTGAGAAGAAAAAGCTGATCAGTTTCACAAGTGAATAGAAATGGCTCATATTTATAAAGCTTATTTCCCCAAAGTGCCCAAAGCACTTACACTTAATAACATACTTATTTCCTCAACATCTGAGCATGGCAGTAAACTAAAAAGATAGATGAGAGAATTAGCAAAGTGTGAGAAAGCTAGATTTATAGGAGAGAAGTTTTACTGAGGAGGCAGAAGGGTCAGTTTTCATTCCTGCCTGGGTTGCTAGCATGGCTAGTTGATTCTCACGGACACCCAAATTCTCTAGTCCTCTCTCTCCTGTTTTTTAAAATGTAGATTGGTGTACCTTCCCTATTTGTTTTTAACAAGGTTGATGTCAAGATAACATTGCAAGAACTTGATAAAGTTGTATATGAACACAGAATATTAGCGTCATCTTTCTTCCTCAGTTCTCCCTTATTTTCTCTGACCGATTTTTTGTTTGTGACTTCTCACTTTTAGCAGGGTGTGTGTTTACCTCCTATTGTGTTTGTGGATTGTCAGTTTTTGTCTTGTAAGTCTGTCCAGTTTTGTTTTATATATTTGGAGTGTTGGGCATCTATAAATTGTTCATGTTATCATCTTGCTGTTAAACTCTTTATCCTAAATAATACTTCTCATAAAGTTGGCTTTACCTGATATCAAAATAGCTATCCCAGCTTTCCATTGGATAACTTTTGCTTGCTGTATTTTTCCAGTCTTTTCTGTTTCAGAATTACTTTGCAAATGGTCTATATTTAAATTTTAAAAATTAAGTCTAACAATCTTTGTGTTTTAACTAAGGACTTTAATAAACGAATGTAAAGATACTTGACTCCTGATGTATTGGAATTATTTTCTACCATCTTACGTTGTGATTTCTATTTGCTCAGTTTTATACCCCTTTTCTTCCATTTATTATTGTTTTTTCTTTTCTGCCATCTGCTGCATTGATCAAGTCTTCATTTTCATTTTCCCTGTATTTTACAATCTAACCATCTAAAACTATTTAATATATAACTTTTCTTCTAAGCATTGTTTTAGCCACATGCTGCAAGTTTTAATGGGTTATATTTCCATTGTCATTCAGTTCAAATATTTTTAGATGCTTTTCTGTGATGAAAGGTAGCCAACTATGTGACTCCAATATATGCCATATGGCATAAGGATTATTTTGAGCTGATGACAGTTTAGGAAAAGTAGATACTATTGATAAATAAGCTCTTATCCTTCCCATATTTGCTAAGGCAGGACATGCATTTGTAAAGGTGTCTGTGCTCCTCTCTACCAGGAAGAACAGACCTAATCCCCTGACACAACCTAGACTTTCATTAGCTGGGAGGAGCCAGAGAAATCTACCTAACAAACCTTACTCACTAGCCCTTATCTTTCATTAGTTCCCTCATACATTTACCTTCCTGCAATTTGCCTCCCCTAAAAACTCAAAGTATTTTATCTTGTCTTGTCACTTCTCTAAAAATTTATTGCTCTGTTGCTAAGATGCTCTAGAATCCCAAGTTGTAACCACCCCTCAGAGTTCCTCATCCCTGAGTTATCCTGCATGCATGCAGGATGCACTGGCCAACAATTTGTGTTTGCTTTTCTTTTGTTAGTCTGTCTTCTGTCAGTCTAATTTACAGGGCCCCAGCTAGGAGGGTGGAGAGAAGCCAGGAGAGTAGAGGGAAAAAGTTTTTTCACTTTTCCCTTTGTAAATCTGGTGATGATACATTATCTTAGTTTTCTTTTATCTGACAATGTCTTTACTTCCTTTTTACTATTGAAGAATAATTTTTCTGGATATAGAATTCTGGATTAGCAGAGCTTTTTCTTTTCTTTTGGCATTACAAATGCATTGTTTCCTTATCTTCCCCATTCCATTTTTGATAAGAAGCATATAATGATTCGATTTTTTCCCTGCATCTAATATATCATTTTTCTCTGGTTGCTTCAAAATTTTCTATTTCTCTTTGACTTTCAGTTGTTTGAATATAATGGGCCTTGGTATGAACAAATTTATTATGTCTAGCATCTGCTAAGGTTTTTAAACTTGTGAATGTCCTCATTCACT